TTGCCAGACCTCAATATCATATAGCCACTATGGTCAATTTTGGAGAAAAAGGTTGGGGCTAGTTTTCCACCCCTGCCATCTCTGCGAGAATTGGAATGGAATGATTTGTGTGGTATCAGATTCCATTATCCACCATCCAAGACCTATATTTGTTAATTCCCAGGAGAATTCAGGTCGTCTTGGATGCCAAAGGCAGTCCAACACTATATTAGGTAACAATTTTGTTCTTTTACCTGGTGTTTCCGTAATTTTCTCCAAGCCCTGTATGTTACAGTGAGCGTGATTACACCTATAGAGAGCTGCATTAGCTGACAATTTCACAGAGTTTTATAAATACTGAGCTCTACATCTGTATGTCCTGACATCTGGACTGGATGAAGATCTGTGATGCCAGTGCAATATTAAAAAAAAAAAGGCTTCCATTGAGGAGCTTTGCATTTTAGCATAGCACCACATGGGAAATTTAGAAATCTTGTTCACTGTATTAGGAGTCATTAGGGAAAATATTTTATGCAGTTGATCATATAAACCTTGAAAGACAGTCAATATCCACATAAACCTCATTTTTTTATGTTTGTGAGATGCTGAGTTTTCATTTGAAAGTTAGCACACTTACTGTGTGCTATTATAAATCTTTTGCTATACAAGACAAGCCAAGCCTTGGACCTCACCTACTTGATCAATATTTTGAGATTCCCTGTATGATATGTAAATTTTATTCCACTGAGCATAGCCACAGAAGGTTTATGTTTATGTTCTTTAATCATATATTTAGAATTCTATAATACAAGGTAGAGTCCAGACTAGAGTATAGGGGAGCGGTCATGTTTTCATAATGTTGAAATTTACTAATTAGGTATAATATTGTGGAGTAGAGCACATTTGTTTTAATCAGTGTTGTTCTGAATTTGTTGGTAATAAAGATGTATCTATTTTGGATTTTGTTATCAGTGCTGTGTCTTAAAGTGTTACTAAATCCACAACAGTAAAATCAGCCTGTATATGCAGTAAAGCATGCTTGTTATACTCACTGTGGAACCTAAGGGGCTAATCCTCTGCATTCTGTAAAACTGCTGTTTGATCCTGACTTCTCTGATCCTCCCCTTCTTCCAGTGTCCCATTATCTCTTGATAAGACATATCGTGTGGAGACACTCTGCACATACTCAGTTTGGTGTGTATTGGTGTGTAGAGAGGTTTTTTTTTTTCTTAGGAGAGTACATGTGATCAGCACAGGGCTAATCAGCACTGTCCAGACAGAAGTCAGGGGTTTTGCATCCTCCTAGAGCAGAAAGAAAACTCCTTCTACAAGCTTTAACCAGTACTCTGTTGTACACTGATAGAAGTCACCAGATTGCTATATACTGCTGATGAAAAAAGGTATTTAGCAGTTTATATTTACTAAACTAATTACATTTCCATGTTCTGTGTACTGTGGGAGACCAGAGAGAGTGAATGCAGGGTCTTGGGTTTAGTAACACTTTAAAGAACCTTTCTTGTTTTTCAGTTGAAAACCAGGAGAGATTTGTAGAGGGGGTGTACTGCAGATCTGCTATGAGATATACAGTATATGCTATTCACAATATCATCCCTTTAAAGCCCATACTCACTACTGCATTGCAGTAACATGTATATTACCGCAACACACTTGTGTCCAGTGTGAATGGCATCCCCACACATCTTGCTGAAAGATGTGCATTGCAGCTCAACATGCACAAATGTGCGTTGCAGTGAACAGCCAGAAATGGTACCTGAACCTTTTTTGGTGAATTCTCGTACAAGAGGCAGCCTATTCAAATGAATGGCCTGACTTAGGCTGGGTCCATATTAGCCAGTGTAGTGAGTTACTATGCATTTCACAAGGGAATATATTCATATGAATGGGCTGGCAAAGCACCAAAACATCTAATAAAAAAAAAGGCATACACCATTTTTGGCAACAGAGCACACCACCACACTCAGAAATGCATTACTGTGCATTGTGGTGCACTTCAAGGCATTGTGTGTTGGAGATGCATTGCCTTAGTGCATTTGGGTGCCATTCAGAATGAACAGTGCTGTAAAATGCTAAAACACATAACGTGGGTTATGGTAACATGTGCATTACTGCAGTACACCACAAGGGAGAACTGTGAATCCAGCCTTAATGCTACTGCATCGCATTGATGTGAATGGGATGTTTTCTACAGTTTTCTACCAAACTAATAAATTAGACATGTTTTTGTGCATGTTTTTGTTTACAATGTGCCTTGCCTGTGCAGACCACATTTTAGTAAAAAAAATATAGGGTTTTCTTCCCATTGCTTCTATGTTTTTCATGTGAGACCTTATTGTCCCATTAAATAGAGAATAAGGAAAAAGAATGCTCTATATTCTGTTTCCTTTCCCATCACTGGCTTCTCATGAGGCTTTTGTCAGTAACAGTAGCTCTTGTATTTTGTGTTGCTCTCCAGCATTTCGGTTTCCCTCTGATTTCCTCCGAGATGTTACAATCCAGTGTTTGTGCTCTGGCATATTTCATTCAGCCTATACAGCTGATGTTCTGAATAACTTCCTCCTTCCTAAGAGAACAACTTGTATATTCATCCCTACATCATGGAATATCTTGGACAATGATTAAGGGAATGAAATTCTTTTACAAGCCGAACGTGAACTAAAAATGTCATGACACCTGAAGTATGGCTCCTTGGTTCTTGTAAACATGCAATTCATTATTCCTTGTGTGGTACAATCATAGTTGGAGCTCAGTACATGCAGAGCTTGCTATTTTCTTCTGAATCCAAATGAGGTTTTATAGACTGTAATCAATTAAAAAAGCAAGTCCGTGCCATGTGGGCAAGGAAAAGCAGCCATAGCATATACAGTATGACAGTCCACTTCCACACATGGTCAAAATTTGCCCAGTAGAGTAATAATGTGCATGTTTTGGTACAATCAAGAATATGAGATCAACATTCACCATTTTAGGTAATGACTACCAATCATATTTTGCATATTTGTGAATGTAGGACATATTGACCTATCTAGTTAAAAATCTTTGTGATATCAGTATCTCCATATGTCTGCATCAAAAGAAAAAAAAAAACATGGGAGGCTGCCATTGTTGACCACCTTCTGAAAATGAGGCAGCAAAAACCCTAGAACAAAGTATGCAGCAAAGTGCAAGAGTTGAGCCCTTGATCTGTATACATATTCTATATCAATGACCCTTCTACCTGGAAAGATTATTACAGAACATGTTGGGTGAAGGCATGAATGAATGGATGGAGTCCATCCACAAGATCCAACAGGTATTTGTTTTCAGGTAAGATTCTACTGCTGGTCAGTCAATGTAACAAAAAAATAATAGTTTACAAAACTAAAGTACCAACATTACAGGATCTTTTGCCAGGATTTGTTTAGCAATGGTTAAATGTTTAATAATATTTTACTCCATTTATGTACCAAAATCATTGTTTTTATAATACCCATGAAACTAACCCAGCCTTTTTCAATCAGGGTGCTGTGGCACTCTGGGATGCTATCTGGGTTCTTCAGGGGTGCATTGGCGAAATGCTGGAACATTGCCCCAAATAGCCTACAAACTGTCAACAAGCCGATGGGTGGATCAAGCCTGCCTTTTTTGTTACATGAAAGCCACGAGTTTTTATTTTGCAGCATTACAACCATGGTCACCATTCAGGCCAGCTGCCGATCTAACAACAGATGATATCATAGACTGATAATGAGGACACCTGAGGACATTCTTGTTTGCCTCACCAGTCAGCACTGAGGTCACGTTAGCTGAATGAGGGAGAGAAATTAAGGGAGATGAGAAACACTAGAATGCTAATTAGTATCAGCATGCAAAGGCATATTGCTTTGTAAAAATAATCTCTAATATTTGGTGTTTTATGTGTGTGGATACTGCTGCGTTATGAAAAAATATTAATATTGTTTTGTTTACAATGCGGTGCTTCAAGATTGTGCATCATTTTAAAGGGTGCCTTGGCTGAAAAAAGGTTGAGAAACACTGAACTAACCTATAATTTTTCAGGGTATTTTTATATTTTGGAAGGATTTGGCAAGCTTAAGATACTGCTTGCTTAGTCTACTCTAGGTCTTATCCATCACTTCTGGTGCATCTTAAGGGCAGGTTCACACCATGCCCGTGCATAAATTGCACTGTGCATTCCTGTGCGGTTCAGACTGCATGCAAAACGCGCTTCATTTATGATCTACAGCGGGTGTCAACAGAAAATTAATAACACCCCAAACGCAGGTTGCAAACACAGTACGTTTGCCTGCACCTTCTTACACCGGATTCCAGGGTATTTTTGTACCATGCGTTCCGGTTGCAGTGCATTTTATATAACTAGTGTATGCACTCCTTTTGGTGTGGTCCGATGTGATTTTAGCCCGTTCAAAATGAATTGGCTGAAATTGCACTGCACAGAACTGCATGTGAATTGCACAGGAATGCACACACATGGTGTCAAATGGCCCTTAGAGAAAGCACTGGTATATTAACTACCTGCCGACCGCAGGCCAAGCCGAATGATGCCCACGTTTCCCACAGAAAAAAGGTGCCGCACCTTTCTGAGTGGACGTCATATGACCATCCCCGTTTTGACGCGCTCTTTCCTGCGCGCGCCCCAGGGGGCGCGCACTGCGAGTTAAGCATGGGATCTCCATGATAAACAGCTGTGTCTCTAAGGACAGCAGCTGATCACGTTGATGTGGTAAGGAACTTTCACGTGATGTGGCACAAACCAGCTGTCAGCGGGCTAGTGAGGAAAGTAAACTTGCCGAGAACCAGCAGGTTGTCAGAGCAGGGAAATCGGCACCAATCTTAGGGCACTGATGATCAGTGCCCTGATGATCGGTGCCCAGCAGTGACACCCGCAAGTTCCGCCCACTGTGCCCAGCAGTGCGCCCACTATCCGCCCCACCTGTGCCCAGCAGTGTTATCTAAATCAACACATAGGGGAGTACCTAAAGCAGTGCCTTGCACCAAGTCACCCACCTGTGCCCAGCAGTGCACCCACCTGTGCCCAATGTTTGGTGTCACAACCTGTGCCACTCTGTGCAGTTGCCACCTACCTGTGCCCAGAAGTGCCACCTACATGTGCCCAGCATTGTGCCACCCACATGTGCCCACCCACCTGTGCCCATCAGTGCCACCCACCTGTGCCCACTCACCAGTGCTGCCCACCAGTGCCACCCACCAGTGCTGACAGTCAGTGCCCAGGGGTTGTGCCAGTCAGTGCCGCCAGTCAGTGCCCAGCAGTGATGCCAGTCAGTGCCGTCTATCAGTACCCATCATCAGTGTCACCTATCAGTGCCGCCTATCAGTGCTGCATATTAGTGCCGCCTATCCGTGACACCTCATTAGTGCTGTCTATCAGTGCCGCCTATCCGTGCCACCTCATTAGTACTGCCTATCAGTGCCCTTTAGTGCTGCCTATCAGTGCCATCAGTGCCGCCTATCAGTGCCCATCAGTGCTGCCTCATCAACGCACATCAGTGAAGGAGAAAAAATGCCTGTTTGAAAAATGTTATAATAGAAACAAAGAAACTTTTTTTTTTTTTTTTTCAAAATTTTTGCACTTTTTTATTTATAGCGCAAAAAGTAAAGCGCCCAGTGGCGATTAAATACCACCAAAAGAAAGCTCTATTTGTGAGAAAAAAATGATCAAAATTTCATATGGGTACAACGTTGCATGACCGTGCAATTGTCAAAGTGCAGCAGCGCTGAAAGCTGAAAATTGGCCTGGTAAATAAGGGGGTATAAGTGCCTGGTAGGCAAGTGGTTAATCAGTTTCAGGCTCAGTTCACATTATTGCAGGCCAAGCTGTGAATGGACTGTAGTGCCCACGTTTCCCACAGAAAAAAAGGTGCATGCACCTTTTGAAAAACTTTGACCATCGTTTTGACCATGCGATTTCCCTGTATTTATGCGCCCACAAACGCACTGCGAGTTAAGCATGGGGGTGCCGTTCAGAATAAACATCTACCCCGTGCATCTCATAAGAGCAGCACAATTTGCTTGTGGGTGCAGGAACAGCCGTGATTTCTATGCACACAACCAGCCTGCAGACTGCGGGCTAGTATGAACCTGGGCTCGGGTAAAATAAACTTGCTCAGGGAGCAACCTTTCCAGGTATTAAGTGCTCAGAGACAGCTGAAATGGCAACTTGCTTAGATTAACTGATATGCATATACACAAGTATAAAGTATAACCTTTAACAAATAGTGGTTAAAAAGTAGTAGAGGCATATATAATCTTCTTTCCCAATTATTAAGCAGTGTTATCTAAATCAACACATAGGGGAGTATCCATAAAGCAGTGACATTCACCAAATATTCACTGCAGGTGCAGGTGTTTTATGAGTGATTTACCACCAGTGAATGTTTGGTGAAAGTCACAATTACCTGCTTTGTAAATATGCCTAAAATGCAGTTGTATCTCTTTAGGAAAATTCTGTAGCATTGTGGACCTCCATGTGCTCCACTGCCCCGGTGTGACTAAAAACTCCAGAAACCTGGTGCCCATATGCGGTCCGGGGCCACATGCAGCCCCTTATTACTTGTTCTTCGACCCCCATTCCCCAGCAGTTAGTAGTGGTAGCACTGATGTGTATAGGGGTAAAACAGTAATCTCTACTAGCCTGTTTTCTGAAGCATGTCTCCAGTCTCCAACCAAATCTCTAGCATGTCCACAGTCTATGGCTGCCAGTTTATCTAGTACTGTATGTCTATAGCCTCTGATGATCCTCTCTAGCATTATACATGCTGCAAAATGATATACGGCCCCTTGGTGATGTCAGGTGCCACAGCTGAGGCACCCATACATTTCATAACTTGACAACCACTGCTTTAGAGAGATGACTAGGAGAGCAGAGTTGCTATAATAGATAACAGGGTAGGGGAACCCATACAAGATTTGTTATGAAAAGTTGGACCTCCACTTTAAAATGCAGTCTCTGTCACATGGTGGGCAGCTGCTCTTACTGATATTATTGATTACTTGGCAGACAATACATGGACACAGATTTTGATTCCTGTGCTACCTTTCCTATGTTTATTTATTTATTCCAGGTACTTATATAGCGCCGTCAATTTACGCAGTGCTTTTACATATATATTGTACATTCACATCAGTCCCTAACCCTGGACAATCTAAGGTCCCTAACTCACATTTATACATACACATACTAGGGCCATTTAGACAGGATCCAATTAACCTACCAGATGTCCTGAGTGTGGCAGGAAACCGGAGTACCCGGAGAAAACCCACGCAGGCACAGAGAGAACATGCAAACTCTAGGCAGGAGGTGCCTTGGATGGTATTTGAACTAACAACCCTAGTACTGCCAGGCGGAAGTGCTAACCATTTAGCCAATATGTTCATATTATCATGAAACACCTGTGATAAATGAGGCAAGATAAGAACCAAATCTTTTTCTAGAGGGCACCACTTGAGTCACTGTTCTTAAGCCCATTCTTCTTACTGCACAACAGACATAACAGTATTCCTTATTGTTATGTAATGCATAATGTACCTCATGCTCTTGGACTGCTTCCATTTAGCAAATAGCCTTTAATTTTAGATATTAATGCTGTGTTCTCTAAGAGTCTTGTTTGTTTCTCTTTGTCTCGTATGTGATACATTAGTGTTATTCTCGTAACCATTTCTATGTGTGAAATATGCTGTAGGTCCCTCGGGCAATGTAGAAATTGTATTTCTTGCAAAATGCACATGATATATCTAACAAGATGTGATATTGAAATAAAACCTTTAGGGGATTAGAAAGCCATCTCCTTCATTTGTAGAATCAATGGTTTGTGAAATATGTTCTCCAATAAATTAATTCTCTCTGTGCACTTTCATACTTGTCTTCTGGACCCCAATGTCTTCGTAATAAGATATAAGAATTTTAAAAATCATTAGGTAGTTCCACATAAAGTTTGGCAAAAAGGATCATTCACATAACTGGCTTAGTTGGAACTCATCATTGCAGTAACTATTCATCAATATAACCCAATTTACACTGCAGACACGACATACGATGAAGCTGTTTCTGATTCTGTACGATGGCCAAGTTGCTCAATGAGAGAAGGGCAGCAACTTTCAGGGATGAAGGAAATGCACTTTCTACAACGCTCAGAATCTTTTAACTTCTCTTTAATAATCTACAGATGAATTTGCTACAGCAGACCTTTTAAATGCATACTCTAAAAGGCTCTCTTGAGGTTGCTCAGTCCAAGCTCACCTCAGTTGGCTTAAGTAAAACAGTAAAAAAAAAACAGCAGCACTTAGATCTTGATTGTATGGAGTTCACAACTCAAATCATACCTAAACTTTATCTGTCACTAAGCAGTGGACATAATGCTGCAAATAGAGAACGACAGGTAGTACATTGTCATTTTTCATATATTGTATAATTCTGCAGCACCATGAAGTTAGCCTGGATAAGAGTCTGCTATGACCAGCACAGACAGCACAGAACATCAATGGAACTTATATTTAAATCACTCACAATCTAAGCTACATTAATAAAAGTATTCAAGCATATGTGTATAAATTCAGAATGAGCAATAAAAAAAACATTCAAATTGTCGTGAGATATTTCTCTGGTCGCTATTAAAGGAGAAATACAGCCAAAGCTATTTTGTCTATATGCCTTCTGTAGGTCAAAGGAGTGCACTTTGTTCTGCACTCCTGTGACCCATTTACAGTTGACAGTAGGTTAAAATAGATGTCACTCAGCTGGGCCAAGCTCTGAAAAGATCCCACCCAGATGCTTGCACTGGCACTTGGTTCAGCCTCTCAGCGAGCCGCTGCAAGTCTGAGCCAGCCCCTCTCACCCTCTCCATGGCCCAGCGCTCCAGTAAGCACTGGAGGGGCAGAGCAGAGAATCAGACACTGAGTCACCACTCTCTGCTGAGACCTGAGAGGAGAAATGAGCGATCAGTGGTGTTTGATTGCTCAGTTTTCACACTTCGAACCGGCGGGGGACAGATTCACCTACGGTAGGTAAGTATAAATGTCTGTTTTTTTAAGTCCATACTTCTCATTTAACTGTGTAAATGTGTAACTATAGCAACTGAAAACCATGAAAATACTATGGGGCCCAGCACTGTTTGACTATACAGTGACTAATGGAGGTAGCTATAACAAATATATTTGGATAACATGAATGAACACTATATAGTCTTGGAACCTCTATATGATTGCTCCGAAAGCAATTACTATTCTGTATCATTAGGAGAGTTGTCTGAAGGTAAAAAATGAAAGTGGACAGCTTAATGGTTTTCTTAGGGAGCCCTATCACATATAGATACAGCCCTGCTGGGACTATCATCAATCACTTAGCCAAAGACCCTAGCTACTAGATCTACATAATACTCCACATATTTAACCGCCTCCTGCCCGCCATATAAGGAAATGACAGGCGGGCGATGGCTCTCTCGTTCTGGGAGGACATCATATGTCCTTCCACGCTAGCTGCGCATGCGCACCCCCCAGGGCACACGGCGATTGGTGGTGCGCTGTGTCCCTGGGACACCATGGATCACCAATCGCAGTAAACAGCCGATGACACAGGCTCTGTCATGTGATCAGCTGTGTCTAACCACAGCTGATCGCATGTGAATAGGAAATGCTGGTTATCGGCAGCCCTCTCCTCATGCTGACATCGCGTGAGAGGAGAGCCAGTACGCGGCATTCCCCTAAGAGGGGACATGTACACTGATCACCAGGGCACTGATTATCAGTGTAGCCCCATCACTGCCACCTGTCAGTGCCCATCAATGCTGCATATCAATGCCACATATCAGTGTACATCAATGCCACATATCAGTACCCATCAGAGCTGCCTTTCAGTGCCAACTATCAGTGCCGCCAATCAGTGGCACCTATCAGTGCTGTTCAGTGCCACATATCAGTGCCAGTCAGTGCTGCCTATCAGTGTTTGTCAGTGCCGCCTATCTGTGCCCATCAGTGCCACCTAACAGTTCCAATCAGTGCCAGTCAGTGCCGCCTATCAGTGTTCAGTGCCGCTATCAGTGCCACCTAACAGTTCCAATCAGTGCTACCTATCAGTACCAGTCAGTGCCGCCGCCTATCAGTGCCCATCAGTGCCACCTATCAGTGCCATATATGAGTGCTGCCTTTCAGTGCCCATCAGTGATGCCTGTCAATGTCCACCAGTGATGCTTGTCAATGCCCATCAGTGCCACCTATCAGTGCCTCCTCATCAGTGATGCTTATCAATGCCCATCAGTGCAGCCTATCAGTGCCCATCACTGCAGCCTCATTAGCGCACATCAGTGAAGGAGAAAAATTACTTATTTACAAAATTTTATAACAGAAACTAAGAAAAAATTTTTTTTTCAAAATGTTCAGTCTTTTTTAGTTTTAGCAAAAAATAAAAAACCCAGTGGTGAATAAATACCATGGAAAAAAAGCTCTGTCTCAAAAAAATTATAAACATTTTGTTTGGGCACAGTGTTGCATGACCGTGCAATTGTTATTCAAAGTGCAACAACACTGAAAGCTGAAAATTGGCATGGGCAGGAAGGGGGTAAAAGTGCCCAGTAGGCAAGTAGTTAAATGATGCCTAGTGTGTACAGGAATAACAGGAAACAAGCAAAGAAACTTATTTAGAAGGCACTTGAGGAAAAATTCTACAAGTCTGTAGGAATCCATCAGTGCAACTAAAGGCAAAACTTTTTTTTTCATTTTTCTTTCTGATCTGTGTCCCATAGGGAAGATTTCCCTTCACATCCTGTTCCATAGCTAAAACAGGAAGTGAGAGGAAATCCCTCCAAAGTAAGGGAATCCCAGGGTCACCAGAACTAATGTCTTCTTTGGATGATTTCTCCTCTATAACTGTACTGGTTTTAACCCAACATTTGGAATTTTCTTCTAATTCCACTTTCAATGTTAACAGTAAACAAAACACATAGAGAGGGTGAATCTCTCTAATTGAGGCAGACATTAAAAAAAACTGATAAGTGGACTATTCCCTGTCCACTCTATCCTAAAGTATAAAAAAACACTTTAACATTGTTTTACATGTAAACTCTTCAAATGGGACAATGCTGAAAATGCTGTTTAGAGATTTAATGAGTCAAAGGGAGAAAAGTAAAGTGAAATGCTGCACTATGCCCCCTGGGTAGATTAAAACCAGAGTCACCTAAAGAAATTAAATTTTTTTTCCAAAACAGTGATTATCCAATAAGGGCCGTATACTGATTGTACTATACTTCCACATATATATGCATCTAAAACAGGAGCGGACTGACCATTTAAGCATTTGGCACTGCCCGAGGGCCTGGGCTCTGTAGGGGGCCCCATGAGATGCCCCTGGTACCTTTCATTGGCTTTTTCATAGGCTTTTTTGGGTGTGGGCGAGGACACAGGGGCCCCATGATCCCCTATTGCACGGGGGCCCATGAGTTGTCAGTCCACCCCTGATCTAAAATAAAATTCAAAACTGCTCTGACAATCACTAAACAGAAAGGGATGCATATATTTCGATGAGTTATACAACGAGCTTTGACTGGAGCAGTAATACAGTACTTCTGATCCTCAGTTTCACTTTAAAGGCAATTAGCTAATCTGGTGTGTGGATTATCCTTATAAGAAAGCAATGGGATGCATTAACTTTTACTTGAAATAAACGCTATTGGACTTCCAAATGAAATTAGTGCACTTTAATTGACAATAATGACAATTACATTACAGATAATGCCACAATGGCACATGCTGGTAGGCAATTAATTAGCTACAATTAATTATTCCAAGAAGCAACATTCATTATATAGTATCCCTGTGGGCATCATATCAGCACAAAATCACTATTTGGGATCACATGTGGATATGAACTAAGCACTTCAATTTCTCTTTTAACCAGACAGTTATTTTTAGTTCTCACTGCAATGTCTGCCATTTTATGTACTTATTAGCAATACATTATGAATATTCAGTATACCATGACTGTAATCATAGAACTCTGTCAGTTTTATTTCACAGCTTCAATTTCTGCAGGCAACTAATCAAGAAGCTAAAGAAACAAGTGGGTTTTAAGCCTACATGTGAAGGTGTATCCAGGGGCCAAGGTTGGGGTGCTTGGCAAAGGAAAATATTTGCTTGCTGCATTTTTTATTAAACAATTTGTATATCTGAAGCTTTTGTTTGCATCTATTTATTTCAAAATACTGTATGTGCTCGCAGCTTCTTTATATATTTTAGATGACACAAATATGTAGACTATATTGTACAATACCTTCTATAAACCTCTTTGCTACATGTGATGTATTTAATTACCTAACCAAAATGTATTGATTTTTTTATAACATAAATATCATATTTTTTATCTGTGTATCCTCCTATCTGTGACAAGGCAAAACAGAGTTTAAGATATTCCCATTAGAACAAATCCCATTATACCCACCTTGACTTCTAATGGCTTTTTTTTTCTCTTCCATGAGATTTTACCTTTTTTCTGTGCCACTGTCTCTTCCTCCCAACCTCCCCGTTACTTTTTTCTTTTTTTCTACTTATTTATTTTCATTGAGGAAAAATTAACAACTAGTAAACAAAAATGGGAAACAACCAATTACATGTATACAATTTGTAGCAGAATGTCTCAAATGAAGCCTGGAAAATTCTTGTTCTGGGTTTACACATCTCCCATGCTCCTCTCATACACTTTTACAGACCTCAGATTATCTGTCTGATTTGGGTTTTGTAACTCTCCCTTTTGGAAATTTAGGCTCACCTAGAACTTAGAGTCAGAGCTCTTGAGCCTGGGGAACAGACAAGTCGTAAAATTGTATGTCAAGACTAACAAGCATTAGGCTTGCGTAGCCTGCTAGTTAGGACATGGATGTGTGTAGTTAGTGCCGGGACATGGCTAGCACTTTGTTTAGAAGCTTTTGTCCTATTTATTTTGTGCAATACTGTACAGCACCTGCAAACAGACTTCTATTTAGCACCAATAAACACAGCACTGTTTGTCACTACATCATTAGACTGGTATCTGTGCCTGAAAGTGTGCTCACCCCAGGGAGCTTTGTACCTTCTACCTAGCCCCAATTCACAAATTCCATAGCCACACTATAACTCCTGTTTAAGACAACAATAAACTTACATGATGTCTACATATTGGTGAGGCAATTGTTTCTCAATATTGTTGCACACTACTGCTCTACACTCTTATTTACCCTTGTCTACTGTACAATATGGGCAATATGTACATCATATTTTGTAGTATCTGTACTGTACTCCTCAATAAAATTATTTGGAAAAGATTACTAACACCATCCAAGGTTCAAATTCACAGGCATGTAAAATATTTTTATAGGGTATATTATAACCAAGTTACTTACCATAAACAATGATTCCTTACTGGTTCTTTATCATGTTCATGAGAAATATTTGAAGTCTAACTTTAGATGGGGACTCAAGAAGATGATAGATTAGGAGTTTGATTTAACACTTTCACAATTGCCACTCTTCTCTTCTCTTATGAGAGCACCTTGCACTTAATAGTGCATGTAGCCTTACAGACACACTTACACACATACAGAACAGTGCTCTTCTACTTACTGCTGCTGTTGTTGGCAGCTCTGAAATGCAACCCTTCACCTAGGCTAAAATCCCTGACGTCAAATACAAAGCCCAGCGACCTATATCCTTGGCCCTTGCCACACACAGGCGTAATTTGTTGTTGAACCTGGAAGCCAGGAAGCCGACATCTGAGGTCCTTCATTTTTGAAATAGAAGATTGAAAATGTTGGGATGGAGGGACCATTCTCATTGGTCCAAGAGATGACAATTAGGGAAATGCACCTTCTGTCAATTCCTGGGAACTGAACAGCAGAGATTGCTGGGCAGTGCTTTTCTGTCAAGGAAATGATCAGGCTTACTTCCTTCAAAGCTACCTGACTCCTGGTCTCTCCCGATGAATAACAAAGTCTACTGCCATGGCATTATAATACTGCAATCTTACTGGGTGTTCCTGAAGAAGGGGGGTCCAATTGTGTAGAGCCATTTTTTTGTTCTCAACTCCAAGATCTTAAAGTGGCTCTAAAAGCTCAAGGTTTTTTACCATCATGCATTTCTTTGCATGAAGGTAAAAAACCTTCTGTGTGCCCCTCCAGCCCCCCCCCCCCAATCCTTACCTCTGCCCCCTCCAATCCAGCATTGTTCATAATAGCCTCGTCTGTATGGGGACTCTCCCTCCTCATTGACTGAGGCAGCACCCAGAGCCCACTGGCTCCTGCTGTTGTCAATCATTGCCAGTGAGCCAATGGAGAGAGAGCAAGAGGGCAGGGCTGAGCCACTGCTCTATGTGTCTTATGGATGCATAGCATGTAGTGGTGCCCCAAGAGCAAGCAGGTTTCTCTGGGGAAACTGCTTGAGGGGGAGGAGCCAGGAGTGCTGGAGGGGACCTGAAAAGAAGAGGATTGAGGCAGCTGTGTGCAAAACCACTGCACACAGTGGGTAAGTATACATGTTTGTTATTTTATAAAAGCAAATAAATAAATAAAGCTTTAGTATCACAGTGAAACTGAGTGAAGGGAATACCTTCAAATGAGGAAATCACGAGGCCTAGGACTCTCATGGAGAAATAAATATTATGCTGTATTGTGCTGCTTTCAAACTCAAAAATGATATGTGAATGTTCCTTTTGTGTTGTTCAATAATCTAAACTGCAAATCAATGCATAAAAATGAACAAAATCATGATGCAATCAGTCCCTTATAGTGAAGAAGTCTTCATACACTTCAAATATTGTCTTAAGAACAAAACATGCTCCAAACAGTGTGATCTTCATACAGTTAAGTAAACCCAAATACCCAGTGCTGCAAGACCTCTTGAAGGACACAGTGCACCACCTCAAACATGATTCAAGATGTGCCCTCACCTTCAAATGTTGACCTATACATCAAAATAGGTGATAAAATGCTTCCCCCACCTTCTGAGGATAATACAATGGGCCTCTCAACGTTCCTGGATTTTCACTGCTCCCCAGTGAATGCGGTCTCTTTAAGACTCTGCTGTAAGGCTGTTTAGTTTGGTGGGGTGAACTTAATTTTGAGCTATGCATCAAAAAGAGGTCATAGAGTACTCCTCCACCTCCCCCCCCCCTTCTGGGGATGATATATTGGGCCTCTTGATGTTCCTGGTCTCTCCCTTGATATAC